CCAGCTTGGATATTACAGTTCTTGACTGTAACAGCTGTTTCCTCGTTTTATACCTGTGAGAAACCAAGGCAGGGATATCTACGATTCCATTAGCAAAACCCAGCTTTTGTGGTATTTTTTTTAGTGTTAGCAAGACGACTGTTTTTGAAGGAATTTACCATATCGTGCCAATATTGTTTTTAAAATATCGACATTTGATCACCTGGCCTAATTTGGTTCGATGGACAAACTTTGTAAATACATGGCCAAAATTTCCAAATATCGTAGGAATTATAGAGGGCACAATTCACCCAATACAAAGACCAAGCTGCTGGTTACAGCAAGAGTTTTACCGAGGAGATAAAAAGTGACATTTCATGTCTTCGCAAGTAATCATTGATGCAAATGGAATGATTGTATTGGTAGTGAGTGGGTAATTCAACAAATCGGTTCATTTGAAGTGATATGGTAGATCATTTCGGTATTCATGCTGCTTTTCTGCTTTATTTGTCATCTTACATGCCATTATTTTTTGTGTCTAATAGTTCTTTCTGTCTAATCAGATTTCCTGGGCATTTGAATGACGCTCAGACCTATCGTCTCATTCCAAGAAGAATAAGGGTGAAGGTTATCTATACGGTTTTTCGCAACAGAAGACCATTCCTGCACATCGTCAGCCAAACATGTGCATTCCTTACAAATAGAAGCCGCTTACTTTTAAAAAGACTGGGACGATAAAGTAATTGATATATATATTTAGGCACTGCCTAAAAGCGGAGCTCCCGATACGCTAGTCACAGAGAGCCCAATTTGAATGAAACTGAAAGGTAAAAATAAGATCGGGAAAAAAATCTTATTTATTATTTAAATCTTATCTCAATTATTTTTATTCGAGATGAAGATAATGTCTCCCATATTAAAAACCATGCAGTGAAATTGAATCGAAATGCGTTACATTGTTTTCTTTGCGCGAGTATACTCTCCCACTAAGGAATTTTGTACACAACTCACCACCACCTCCAGGGGCTAGTTTTGTTTTTGGAAGATTCTTCGACAAAGTTTTCCATGCCCGACATTTTTAGCTTTGAATTCCTGAATAATTTTACTTAAAAAAAACGAAAGACAACTACAGATAACCAATGCAATATCAGGTTTAGTTAAATTTACCTTGTATGTCTTTCATTGAAATCGGAATGTTTGAGAATCCCGAATTTTTTGGTACAAAACAAGACTATAAAACAGACTTGAAAACTGATTAAGGTAAGCGAAAAATAAGCTCACTTATGTCTTTTATCTTTTATAGATAGATAGAAATTTTTATTTACACAGGATTATCCAGTCCGATATACAAAATGCAATCTGATATCAAAGGGGCCCTAAAAATAAATACAATATAAAGATATATATATATATATATATATATTTGTTTGAGAAGAAAAAGTCAAGACAACATTTTTCCCGACAAGCCTGTTTCGTGAATTGCTTCACTCTTCAGGGAATTT